TTACATTATTTAGCAGATTGAAGAAGCTTGATGGAGACACAGAACAATTACCAGAAGCTTCTCTGTAACATGAGAGTTTTATGCACGCACATATACAAAGCCATTAATGAAACAGGAAATGGTTGGTTGTTGGTTTAGTAAAAAGTTGACACTCCATAGCCGGAACTTTCTGCACAGCTCACACACCCGTGTTAAGAAAAAGTCACTTGTTGCTTATTAACACTTAGAAAACGTGCTTCTGAACCATAATGGTGGCGTATCATCAGTGCAAACATACAGCACTGCACAGTATCATTGCATATTCACTGACGGTTACATATGTGTTGTGTACGTTTGGGATTAAGTTTCGGTTTGTCAGCAAGTAGTTACTCTGAAGTATTGTCACATACACACTGCACATCATCGGGAGAGAATGAGGATATCCGAATACTTAACACTTGCACTGTTACATAACATGCTCATGGCTGCAGCATCTGTCCGAGTTCTCGCTTTATCAGTTTTAACGTTTTCATTCAGATGAAAATAACTTCTTTCAGGAAATACAACAAACTTGCCTTTTCTCCACTCTGCAGAGATGAGTGGAGGTTTCCATGCTGACTTGCACTTTTTTTTCCCAGTTTTTTTTAAGCGGTACTGGTTGTGGCATTGCATTAACATGCCATGTTTAATTTTATTTCCTTTTTAGAGAAAATGGGAACAGTTGTTACCAAATTATCCAGTTTGGAGGTTTGTTTTTGTTTTTTAATGGAGGATTTAAGATTTGCGTGAGGAGTTGTTTAATAACTGAGAGCTAAAGAATGTTTTGACTTCTCATTTTTATTTTGCACCCGTAGTTTATGCTGTACTGTAAGTTTTGACCACACATCTAGATTATAACATGCCTGCGTCCTCTGCACTAGTCCCAAAGTAGGACCACGTTTGAGGTTTAAAATCCTTCAAAATGTTACAGTCTAGAGCCTTTTAAATAATAGCCTGTTACATTAGCTAATAGTAAAGCCTTAATCTGGCAAGAATACATAATTACAGGACAAATTTACAAAAAATAAAAAGCCTCCTTACTTGGCATAGAAATTATTGTCCGGAGACATGAATAATGCATGTTTGTCTCTAGTATTGAGCCTGATTAGAGGATTAAAGTGCTGCTGCATGTGCCGTGTGACTGCTGTTCCTGGAAGGCTGAGATAAATATGAGGTTTTCTTTGCGATGACAATGTTGCCTTTTTTAGCTGAACTGAATTAAATTGCCAAATTATTTAATTCAAGCACCAGTTTTTTTTTCTTTCAGCAATGCCTTACACTTTATAATTTCACAGGGTCTAAAACAATCAACGTTTTCATTCTGGGTCCTTTGAGAGAAATGTCAATGCTTGTGCTCGATGTAGGTCTGTGGGTCAAATACGTCTTACCACTACTTACTGTTGAATATGTATGGAAATGTTACCCAGGCCCTATACACATGTCACTGTGTTGCTCTCATGTCCGCATTGATCTGTATTTTAAGCTCTTCTAAGTGCCCCATGTTCTCTTTCACCTTCTGCTTTTATTTATTCATATATATCATTTTTATTTTATTTTATTTTACAAAGAAATCTAATCTCAGGTGAAAAGGGTACTTCACATCAGAACACTCACCAGTTGCTTCTTCTTTTTTGAGCATTTCATTATTATTATTATTATTTAATTTTTTCTGCTTTGCAGCAGTCCTTTTTTAAATTCTCTGCTTTCCTTTTGGTGCCTCCCTTGTGCTCGGTGCATTAAGAAGTGATTTTGCACACATGGACGGCTGCAGAGTGATGTCAACTGTTGGAAAAGGTTTTCTGGAGAAATCCTTTTATATTTTAATGGGTTCCAAAATAGGATTGGTTGGCAGTGCAGGTAAATTCGTCTCCCACAGTGGGAAAGAAGCATTGCAATATTTGGACTTACTTGAAATGTTTGCCGGATGATTAATAATGAATGTGTTTAAGAGTTGGAGAATATGAATTGTATATAAGGAGAAAGTCAAAGTTAGTCCTTTTAAGCAGTGTTTTTGAAGGTGAGACATTGCTGGCCAATGATGGAAGACATCTTTTAAGTAATGCATTATGCAAAAGCGCCTTTTGATTTTTGTTTACTGCATGTAATATTTTTATTGTGTTTAGCATTTTTATTAAATTGTACATGAAGCACTAATCAAACATAACAGTCCCTGAACTCCCACTTGGAGAAGTGCATGTCGTGAAGGTTTTATACTGTTCATTTAATGTAACGAATGTACAAATAAATCTTTGTGAACTGTAACCAAACCCCGTCTCCTGTGGTGTCATTTCCTCTGCTTTTAGTATGCCTGTTTGTGTTTTTTAACAGCTGCCTTTTTGTCATAGGTCACGCCAGTGAAATATGGTGCAATACAGTCGAGTCATGAGGGCGGTTGTGTTAGCGCAGGAACAGAAGATTCACGGGTAAGAGGGCATCTTAGGTCACTATGCTTTTAGGAAGTGTAACACAAAATGTGTTCCCATTGTCTGTGATTGTTTTAGATACATTTCTTGTGTATGTTTGCTCAATTAATAGTTTGTTTTTGTAGTGCCTATGACATGCTGCTTGGTGATTTGTATTACCTCTACCAAGGAGATTATGTTTTGAATGAAGTCTTGAATGAGTTCTGTTGAGACCTAGTAGGGGTGTAGAGTGGACTCATGTTAGCAATCTATTCAAATTTGGCATACTTCCCCTTCAAAGTCCACTCAATAACTTATTGGTTGAAAATTGATTTAAAAAACCTTTCTAACTTAGCAACTATGATTCTTAAAAGTGTGTTGTGTATTGTCAACTTAAAGAAAGTACCATGTAAAGATTTAAAATATCATGTTACATTTGACCTCTGACCTTTTCTTCAAGGCCAGTAGATTGAGCTGAAGGTCAAAGTGATAATAATGCTATGTAGAGCTTAAATACATATTCATTTTTAATTTTCTGTACTTTACACACATTTAAAAAGAACAAATAAAACAAAATGAATAAGTGAATAAGATACAATACTAATCCCTTAAAAAGTAAACACTGCTTCAATCACTTCTTCTGTGTTTTAAATCAAAGTGTTCAAACGTTTTCTGACCAAATGTCACACTGAGACAGTGACAGATGAGCTGTTATATATTCGCAGTTTGCTATTTCAGTTACTCTAATTTCTCTGACACACCTGCAGAGGTCATACAAACAGTTTGCATCCAAGCCTGATGTCAACCAAAGTGTATAGGGACGTCTGTTATATGGTGTGTATGTTGCGGGTAGTGAGTAACTTATGACTGAAACACCCAAAGTGCTTTTATGTGAATCCAAGTTATTTACTTTTGGCAGAGCAAATATGGGTGTACTCTGAGAATAACAACCTAGCTTTTAAGTTCAGAGCACCTTGCAAATGCTCAAGGTGTTGATAAACTTAAAGGATGTTTGGTATCAGCTGACTCTGTATTGAAAGGAAGACGTTCAAGATAGCATCAGATACAATCCAGAGTACATGTTAACAACTTCCTTTATTGCTGATAATAATTTTATAGTTGCTAGGGCAACCGTTACCACTGGTCTTGTTCAGAGGTATCTTTATTATTTAGTAGTACAGTAATAGTGTGCTTGTGCGGTTACCATGAAAAAGAAAGCTGTGAACTCTTTGTAGTAACACAGTTTTGAAATCATAAATAGGGTTAGAAGTTGAGACTGAAAGACTTGAAACCAAATGTAAACCATTACAAAACAGCATCACTGCTAGAAAAGGAGGCTGTGATGGTTTATGGCAAAAAAAAAAAAAGAGGAAATTAAACAAACATTGAGATGTCAGATCGATGTTGGTAAAACATCAAGGGTTTTGTCCTCTAGGGAAATTCACAGGAAAAAGTTTAATATGAAAATGAGGATTATGTGCTGTGCCCTAAAGGTTTGTTGTGGATAGCTAAGGTGAAGCTTCAGAGCAGGGGTCTCGAACTCCAGGCCTCAAGGGCCCGGTGTCCTGCAGGTTTTAGATGTGTCCTTGATCCTACACAGATTATTTAAATGGCTAAATTACCTCCCCAACATGTCTCCATGTTCTTCAGAGGCCTGGTAATGAACTAATCATTTGATTCAGGTGTGTTAACGCAGGGTGAGATCTAAAACCTGCAGGACACCAGCCTCCGAGGCCTGGAGTTCAAGACCACTGCTCTAAAGCATCTTTCAAACTTGCCAGCATTGCATTAAAATCCACTCAAAGATACTTGTGATGTCATCATTGTTTTTATAATAGAGTTTCCCTTTGACAGCACGACTCTGGTTACTGTATGTGTTGTGTTATTCCTTCATACATGTCTCACAGGTTCGACTCTGCTCTGACTGCAGCACTGCAAACAGCATGAAAAGCAGGAAGGCTGCTGGAGGTGGATGCCAAAAAGTGACTTAGTTTTATATATCCTTTATTTATCCAGCTAAAAAAGTCTCATTGACAATAATTTATTTATTTATTTATTTATTTTATATATAACCTCTTCATTCATCCTGTTGACTACAGTATTTTTACCATTATTAGCAAAGTTATTACACATAAAAACCACACAGAAACATCACTTTTTAGCTAAAAAAAACCCTCCTGGTACATGTGGGGCTTCTGGACTCTGAGTATAAACCAACAGCATTTTTAAGTGCGCACAGTTTGTTCTGCGCTTTGAGAAGATCACGTGGGGGTGGTGCTTTGCTTCATCCTCCTGTAATATATGTTAATTATCTGCAGAATTTCAAACCAGTTCAGTGAAGTATATGAAACGGCTTGCGTGGATGAAGGAATACACATTGACTTCAAAGAGAAGAATCCTCTCACAGTGCGTTATGTCCATATAATTATATTATTATAGCACATAAGAGCTTGGACTGCCATTCACTAACTGTTACATTATTTACGAGGTGAAAATGTGCATTTCCCTGCTGAGATGCAGCACAGCACTGTGCGCGGTGTTGCCTGCGTGCTAGATCCATTACGGTATCCACGGCTCTTGCAGTGGAGCAGAGGAGCCTGATGGATGCAGAGATAAAAAGCAGAACGAGGACAAGGGAAGCGTAGATTGCTACAAATGCAGACTTCAGCAGCAGCAGCTTGTTTTTCACTATAGCAAAGACCAGTATCCAGATTTTTTTAAGGCTTTTTTTTGCATCTCTTACCTTCAGCCTGGCTGAAGTTATCTTTGAATTCCTTCAGTACAGATTTCATGTGAAGGCATAGTGTTTGTTTCAAGTCACAGGAGCTTTTATTTTTTTTTATCATGTTGAGGAAGAGCTCAGAGCGGCTGAAGGGAGACAGAGAGGTCCTCCTGGATCTGGATACTAGGGCTGAAGCACAAAGCACAGAGTGCTATGGGAGCCTGCAGAATGGGAGCTTTATCCCCCCACGATATGTAAGCTCTGCTTTACTTATTTCCTACAATACTGCAGTGTGATATCTCTTCAGCTCACATAAATCTATAAAATCACATCACTTTCACACAGCAGTTATTCATTATTCTGTTCCCTTTTGGCCTCACTGATTTCTCAGAGATGTGGCAGTGAGTCTTGAGGGGTTTTACCCTTCATGTAATATAAACATGAACACAAGGTACTGTAAGGACACTGATAATGGGTAATGCTCAGGCATGACTTTACTGCACTGAAAGATTGTTTTCGGCTCATCTTTTTGGTCTTATTACTGCAAAGTGGAGGCATGTACTAGCACAAGAATTAAACCTCTCCTCAAAGCCAATTAAACATTCATACACCGAGCGAAAAGGTTCAAATGCAGAAAAGTGAGCAGAGTTTTCGTGAGCTGCTGTCTCTTTACAGAGTTTCATGATATATTAATGGTGGCTCAACTGTCAGCTTTCAGCTGCAGCTGCTGATGGAGATATGGATGGCGATGATCCCATTTATATGCAGTCTACTACAAGAAGTAAGCAACCAGTGCCACAGTTGGGGAATTACTTCAGAGACGGGAGAACTAAGATTGGTAGGCCGCTCGCTTTGCATGAGGTTTCATCAGCTCAGTGGTAGGTAGACAAAGTCATTCGTTCATTTAACCTTTCACTCCTCTGGTCTGGGGTGCAGACTTCGTGCTGGTGTGGGAGATTCGTTCACGGAGGAAGCGGCGAGGGAAAGGGACAAATATGGCTACCAGTGAGGAGAGGGAAGCCGTTCCCACTGAGGAGAGCAGCAGGTCCGAACGAAGGAAAGCACAACTGGCTCAGTGGAGAGAGAAGTTTGTTCAGAACCTGGAGAGTGTTGGCTTGGTCATGGAAAAGGTGTTGTGGACAAGATTAAAGATTATTCATCTTATTATTAAATTGTTAAATCTGTTCATTATTTTTCCTGACTTGTTGATTAACATCTTCTTTGTTGCCTCTTTACTTGTAGGAGGAAACTGCAAATGAAAAGAAGACCATACACTTTCTCAAAATTAGCGCCCCCTGGGATGTGTTGGTGTGTTATGCTGAGGAACTTTGCCTTAGAGCTCCACTGCAAGTAAGTACAGCTGTTTATTTCTAGGTAAGTTTAATTTAAAGTTATTTGTTACGTGACGTTAAACCCAGTTGATAATAATACTAATTTGGGGAATAAACAAGGACAACTTAATATGAAAGAACACACTGATGTTTACCAGATAAAGTCTTTACTATCTCACTTTTCTCTTTAATCATGCGAACATTTTCTGATTATCTCTGAAGAAAATGAAAACCTGTCGTAACTTTTCACTCAGAACCAAAAATGTGCATCTTATGCTGTTCTACAGTAATAGAAGGAGGTCACCTGTATCTGTGTTTGTGTCCCAGGCACAGCAGCATCTAGACCTCAACACATCTGCTCGGGTACTGAGTAAACTATGCATACCTAACGTAATGACGGAGTCTGTGCCTAACAGGCCTCTGGACTATTACACATGTGCCTTTCGCAAGTCAAAGATGAGCAGGTGGGTTAACTTCTGCAA